GGTGTTGCAGCTCGATAGGGCGCTAGAAGGATACCTTCTTTGGGAAAGGACCCTACGGATCTCCTGTTCAGGGTCGCCGAATTCCGTTCTGCTAGGCGCATCAATCCTACACGTCTTGGGAATTTATCATGCCACTTGCCTTTAATGAGATTGATATGAGCATGAATCTGAGAGCAGTGGTTGTTTGCCCCGAGACGCAGGTAGACTCAGAATGGATGTGCTTGAGCACGCTCATGCATAAATGCGTGTGTTTTGAGTGTACAGGTCGTGGTCTGCACGCTATTCCTTCCAAAAGCTGTCCATTGTTCTTCGACACTTACGATTGTGGGGATGTGAATGTCTTTCTTTGACAAAAGAAGCATGAAGTCGTATGAGAATCGGACTACCCCCTGACCTCAATGCGGAATAATACATTTATTATGACCGATAGAACGTCAGTATACTCCAGAAATGGAAAGGAGCAGAAGGCCCACGAAACCTGAGGGGAGGGGGGGGGGGGGGTCAAACTCTTTTACAAGGAAAAAAAACGAAGCACACTGCACAAGTACGTATGCTACTCCCCCTTGTCCGCACGGTAATCCACATCGCCATGTCTGATCATAGATATGGATGACGCGGCCTGTTTCACACTTGCATGGTCCCAAACATTCGAACAGTCCTTGGGTGTTTTGATGCATTTGACATCCACAAATGTCGTTCAACCCGAACTTCTAACCCAGCAGGTCATCCCCCCCTCATTTTCCCACCCACTGAGGCCCCATTTAGACTTCGCAATGGCGCGCATCGCGCGCAACCGCTGGAATGGCGCTTCAATGCCATAGACGGTAACCAGCCATGGGCACGTATCGATTGGCTCCGACCGCTAGTGTTTCGGGATGGGTATAGGAGAATAGGAGTGTATTGGGCTAATACTCTGTATGCAGTCTGGTACACTCCTGTTCTCCTGCATCTATCGGTGCTAACGTATTTGGGCGGGGGAAGGGGAGGGTGAAGAAGGGCGGACCACACGCCTCCACACCGAACTAGTATCCCTTGTTTTGGTCAGCTTCAGTGAGGGTTCTTTTAAGGTAACCCAGTAATTCCCTTGTAGAACATGAATTTAACACCGTCATAGGGTGGTAATCCAGTAAGGCTACGCACTTCTGAACTCTGAAAATTGCGGAGAAGCAAATGTGAACCAGTGAATGAGGGTTTTCGTTTATACCCAAGAATAAAAGACTTTGGGTAGGTGAACCCACTTCTCTGAACAAAATACTAGTCTCAAACGCACACCTCGCATGTTCCGCACAACCTGAAGGTCGCCACTTTACTGTAGCGACCTATCAGAATAGACAGGCAGAAGATGTTGGAACAATGTTTTCCGACAGACTTTCCATTGCGTATATGCATTTACACTTTTTGGGACTGATCAATTTCTCGGTTGAAGTATGCTAACATTCTTTATGGGTTGTTTAAAACACTATCTTGGCGAGTACGGAGTAAAAAGGCAGCGCGCCGCATGCTTCCAAATATGTTAGGACCGGTCGCAACTTGGAGCCGGTTTGGCGACTCGAAAATTCAACGCGACCAGTAAGGGAATAGTGGGCTTTTGCTTCTTCTCGTCATGACAGGTAATGAGAGGGCCGCAGTTAATGCGCTCCAGACGCCTACCGTACCCCGAGCACGAGTCCTTTAAGGCGCGAACGTTCGCGAACTGTTCTTGGAGCATAGACGGCAGGGTTTCCTGTCGTGTGGCATTCTTCCTCTTTCGAAAGCAACAGGTGTGACCTGCCTTCGTGTTGGCACTTCTCAGAATATCTGAACTTGTTGGATTTGCAATTCATTTTCAGTTTTCCGATGTTGTAACGACTAAGCGGTCCTGCAGCTCTTCAATTCCTTTTTCTTCGTTTTTTTTTCTTTTGAACATGTTGTTGTTTTATCACGTCTCTCTTACAACTCTTCATTCGCGCGATAAAGCCGTGCACTGCTTCTGGTTTTCCATGTTCGCAGCTGTGTTTGCTAAATTTCCTACAAATTAAGGGTACTCCTTACTCCAGCTTTGCTAGTGAGTTTCTTTCGGCAGGGAAATGGTGAAAGAGACCAAGTATTACGACGTCCTTGGCGTTCAGCCGAATGCAACAGACAGCGAGTTGAAGAAAGCATACAGAAAATTGGCACTGAAGTATCATCCGGACAAAAATCCCGAAGGAGGAGAACAGTTCAAACTTATTTCGCAGGTAATGTGCTACTTCTTGAGCTGCTTCACAGTGTTCCAAAGCTGCATTAGTATCAGCAATGGGCTAAATAACGTATAGCTTTCTCTTGCTCTCATAAGGAACAAAAGTAATTGCTGTAGAGTTCTGGTGGTGTTCTAAAACATTTAGAACGAGAACAGAGTGCTGTACCATTGCCGAGTTTGTTCGAAATAACTGAGAGTGGATAGATAACGCGAAGTGCTACGGAAGGTTTCTTTGAGGTTGACCAGATGCGACTTCTCAACTAAACACGGCTCGAAATAAGGGGAAATAGAATCCTTTCCGTATCCGCGCCTTAAGAGTTCACTGTCGTCACGAGCAAAGATACAGGTTTTGCGTTATGATGTAGTTGCAATAACCAACTCAAGACAAAGGTGCATGTCCTTGAGTGTTTCCGATACTATACAGGGTGGGTTAGCTGCACCATAAAAGACGCTGCAACTCAATTTTTCGCTCATGCGCTTTTGAAGAGATTCTTTTTATGAAAACACGATCCAGGGTGAGGCGGATGTGATGTAATGACTATTGGCACGCTTATTACGTGCACGGTTCGAGAATCACATCGCACCGGCTCCTGCCCAGGACAGTATCAGATTCGACTGGGAAGATTACAACATTGAGCAGTACATCGGCCGGCTCTCGGAGTTATTGTTTTGCCATACCGCATTCAATAAGACACCACGACTCTGACCGGAAGTACCGTGCCGCATCCCAAAAAGCGGTTGATTGATGGCGAATGCGTTATCTTTTACCATTTACGAACCAGGGCATTTCACCATTATTTTCGAGCAAATCTTGTTTTTCTAACATAGTCATCAATAATTCGACGTCTGGCTCAGCAAATGCTACCTCATCACCCCCTATACCTGAAGGCCTAAATTCAGATCCGGGGAGTTAGATGGTCCTCAATCAGGAAAGAAGCGGTTTTGGTAAAGAGAAGGAATATTTTTGTTTCGGCCCTATGGATTGTATCGCAATCCTGCTAAATGGATAAATTAGGCCTAAATTGTTCCTGAATCAGACATATTAGCGTATTAGCGCAAATAATCAGAAAAGCTTTATATAGTGTTTGATGGAATCAAGGGCTTACGAAATTTCTCGCCACTCTGTAAATGTCGCAGTACCCTTACCTTCTAGGTTTTCACTTCTTGTTTCTTTTCCCTATCTCTTTCTTTTCAAGACACACGTTTTTAAGGACCGCACATCTGCTCACTTGCCCCCTAAATATCAGTTCCAGTAACGCCGGTGCTTTTCATGAAAAAATCCTTCGTCATAAGGTTTTTTTACAAATGAGACGCTGAGATATAATGGGGCTCCATATCGCAAGCTAAAATTAGTCCGCCCCTCCCCTCATGAAAGTCTGTGAAATCATGCCTTTCCCCCTTCCATAGAAATCACCTTCTCAGTATTCCATTTGGTCTGTTTTCTGTCAATAAATATACCTTTTATACTACTGAATGATGAATAAAGTGCCGGAAGAAAACTGGCGGTTCCTGTTCAAGAAATTGATGGTGGAATCAGTCTTGTTATCCAGTACAGTGGTGGTCCTCGTTGACCAGAACATCTGTT